TGGTGGTGATGGTGATGGTGGTGGTGATGATGGTGATGGTGACGGTGATGGTGGTGATGGTGGTGATGGTGATGGTGGTGATGGTGATGGTGGTGATGGTGATGATGGTGGTGATGGTGATGGTGGTAACTGTGGTGGTAGTTGTGGTGAAGGTGATGATGCCATGTGGTGTGGTGCTGGTGGTGATGAGGAGGCCTCTTGAGCCTGAGGAAGCTATATATGCTGAGAGTGCGGGTCGGGTAGCATAGATGACTTTGCAGCCAGACCCCTCGGCCTAGGAGATTTCTGGAATGTGCTCCAGGAAGGAGAACCAGGGCTGAGGGTCCCCCAGGTTCAGTGAGGGGCCATTGAGTGGCAGCACCAGTTCATGCCCTTTCCTACACTGTCCTTCACAGGTCATTTCAGAAGGAAGGAGAAGGAAGCCACTGACCCGGCTCCATGGAGGGGTGGGCCAGCTGCAGCAGGGACTGATCCAAGCCTAATTGAGTTTGGGGCCAGCTCTAATGCCTGTGTGATGCTGCCAACAACATAACATTTTTTTTTTTTACCCCAAAGACTAAAGCAGACGTGCAATCTGTTAGAATCCCAGTGGAGACCCTTCCCCCACCGGAAGGGCCGGAGGGACAATGGAGGGACAGGGACCCCATGCTCCATGTGCATTATACACACCTGTCTCTGGGTTGAGGCCACAGCAGGGAGAACCCAGGGGCGGCCACCACAGGAGAAGGAGACCGAAACCCCTTTGGCTGGAGGAAGGCCAGTGGGCCACAGGACAGGCTCCTCCCAGTCTCCCTTCCACAGTCCCAGGCTGGCCCACTGAGTGTGGGGCTCCACGTACATCCAGAGCTCGCCAGACCATCTTGGGCACCAGCCCTGCCTCCTTCCCTGACCAGTTAGCCGTGGGCGGGCAGCAGTGTTCCTCAGACCTCAATCATCTGAGAACTGCTTTGAAGGGAAAGCTACTTCCTTGGGCCCCTCGTTAGTGACCTAAATCATTTTTATTATTATGTTGCAAGCGGGGAGCCCTCGGCAGACCATAAACCGGAATAAGCTGAAACATCCACAGATTAAACACAAGCAACACTGCGAAACTCATAAAATTTAAATTGGCAGTGTTCGTGTTACAAGGCAGTCATCTGGGGAAGCCCAGCCCTGGCGCTGGGCCGGCCGCGGAGACGCACCTGCGGGCCCTCCTGCCTTCCCTGTGGGCTGTGAGGTTGGGGACGCCGCACGCTGCAAGGAACTGCGCTGATCGTGGTCAGTCTTTGTCGTGAGCAGGCCTGGGATTTCACGCAGAGCCGCCCAGGGGCCCTCCAGTGCCTGCCCCAAGCTTCTCACGCGTGTGGACACGTTGGCCTCGCTGCACGGTCCAGTCACAACGGGGACTGGGGACAGAGCCATGCATGTGTCCTGCCACAGGCTTTCCTCCTGCCATGTGACACGAGGTCCCTAGCACTCGCTGTGCAAACCCTGTGGGGCCTCTGCTTGCTGGTGTGGGGTGCACACCCATACGAGTGGGGAGCGGATGCCCAAGGAAAGGATGGCCAGGCTGAAGCCCAGGGAGGAAAGGTCCCTACTTTCTCTAGAAAAGGCCTTGAGAGGACCATCATCTTGTCATACAGGTAGCTGGGGGAGGCACGGGGCCTTGCTGTCCTTGCTCCATCTCCGAAGGCTGTCCTTTCCCTTGAAGACAGTTCATTCCCTGTCCTTCCTTTGAAGGGTCCGCACTGCCCCCTGTCAGACTCCATCACTCCGGCCACCCTGGTCTGTCTGCAGCTCTGGTCACTGCCTGTCCCGACATTGCTTGGGCACATTGGCCTCCCACCACATGGCCCAGAGCCACCTAACTCACTTCTCTCCTGAGACCAGGGTGACCGGCCCTGCCTGGCCATCGCCTTTCCGTTGCTCGGTCCCTATACTGCCCTCCCAGCGCCGTCTGTGTCCTGAGCCGGCTGCCCACACGGTGCCCACAGCTCATGTTACGTTGTTTACACATCTGGGCTGAAGCAACGGGAAACTGAGGCAGAGCCCCCGTCCCAGAAGCACCTAAAGGCCCACATGGAGGGCAGCCTGGAGCAGTGTCCGGAGCTGCACTGAGCCCCAGCCTGAGGCCCTCGGCACTCGGGGCGGAACGCGCAGGCGGTGCTGTGAGCTCACGCCCCTGCCGGGCCAGCAGCAGGTGCACAGGCCTGTGCTGAGGACGCAAGCCTGTCCATGTTCCAGAGAGCTCGGTGTCTCCTTGGGCCTGGGGACAGGCCTGGGAGACGTGGTGACGACCCCTGACACACCATGGGCCGAGGGGTCTCCCGTGGCTATGGCACGTGGCTGGCTGCCACCACAGTCCCCAGAGGCCACTGGTCAGCTACTGTCGCTCATGCCCCTGTGCACTGTCAGCTCCCGGAGGACGCCCTCCTGGGCGCTGGAGCTGCCTCAGCATCATGGAAGTGGTGACGTGTGGCATGAAAGGTCCCTTTGTCCCTGGGATGGTGTGGCCAGTGCTGTGCCTCCCACCGCCTCCTGCAGGAAGTGGGCTCGGCAGGGTGAGCCAAGCCCAGCGGCAGACAAGAGCCGTGTGTGCTCAGCAGCGGCCCCACGGCACCCTCGGCAGCCCTGGCACCCGACACGCCCGGACGCCACCCCGCGTGGGGGAGGAGTGCCATCAGCGACTTGGTGTGTTTGCGTGTGCGCGTGTGCTCTTGTGGGGCACATTGCCTTCCTGCCATGGGAGGGCACAGCCGTCCCTGAGACAGCCTTAGTCCTGCTCTTGGCCCCTCAGGCCAGGACGGGTGGCCCTGGGCCTCCCTGCAGCGAGGATCAGCACCGTTGGCCCGCTACGTGGACAGCGCTCCCCAGGCGTGGCTGGGGGACAGATGGGAGCACAAGTACAGAAGCTCCTTGAGCCCCGTTGCCCGGTCCTCACGGCTGAGCCCAGACAAGCCGCCCCTTCCGCATCAGGATCTGTGCAGACGCCCCGCACAGGATTTCCAGGGGTCGGGCTGTGTGCGTGATCTAAGCCTCTAGCCTCTCCGTGGGCTTAAGGGGTGCGTTTGCTGGTGTACAGCCGGGCTTCCGGGCCATCTCATCTGTCACCAGACGGAGCTTTTGCGAAGGCCCTGCTGCTCGGGCCTCTAGCAGGAAGAGGGAGCAGAGGACGAGCGAGGCCCCAGGGATGTGCAGGGAAAGGCGCTGAGCATCCGCCGAGCAGTCCGGGAAGGAGCTCCCGCCTGCCCCCAGCTTCCCATCCTGGGGTCCGCCCAGGATGAGGCCGACCCCGGTGAGCAGGATCCAGCACGTCCTCTCCCTGCCCGGGGGACCCGCACAGGCGCTCAGCTGGCGTGTTTCCCACACTGATGTCCCAGCAAAATGAGAACCACATCTGAGGGGTGGGTCTCCCCCGCACCACCACCTGCTGCGCTGCGGGGACAGAGGCCACAGGTGTGGTGGCCTCAGCAGCAAACAGCTGCGTCTCCCCGCCCTGGGGGCCAGGGGTCTGAGATGACGGGCGGCCGGCCCAGGTGCTGCGAGGCCTCGTACAGCTCGGTGTTCCTACTCGCGAGGGCACTGATCCTTTCGGATCGGGTCCCCAGCCTCGTGACCTCCGTTAACCTGAATTACTGCTCTAAAAACACCGTCTAAGGACCCGCACACTGGGGCTTAGGGCTTTGCCATGTCACTCTGGGGGCACAGTCCAGTTCATGGCACAGCGTAGAAAGGAGCTGACACAGGGTGACGAGCTCTTGTATCCCCAGAAACGGCCCCGAGACGCATACCATGGCTCTCTCCCAGCGCGCTCACCTTTTCCTGCTGCCCCCAAGGGGACAGTCAAGCGCAGGGAGCACTGGGCAGATGCCCAAAGACGCACGTGTCCTCGTGTGGCCTGGACCCAGACTCCGCATCCTCGTGTCCTGGGAAATCCCAGGTTTTGTGCCTTCCGCAGCAGTGGGCTGGAGTTGGGGAGGACGCCGTGTTTGGAAGTGTGCACGTGGAAGGCTCAGCTTTGAGGTGAAATGGCTTCTGGCCCGTGGTGGGAATCCGGTCTGAGTACCCAGACGGTGTAACTGCGTGGGCCCCGGACTTAGAAGGACGTGCACGTGGTCCTAGTTCTTCCTCTGCCGCCGCTTACTGATGGGCTGGCGGCAGAGTTGGACCTGGGGACATCGCTCAAGAGGGGGTCGGGGACAGGGAGGAATAGAGGCCCCGCCCCCCGATGGACTCCAGGCGCTGCCCACCGGACCATCCCTTCCCAGGGCGGGAGTCAGGCTTCTGGCGCTGTCCCGGGGCCCCAGGGAGCAGCGGCTGAACGGCTCTCTTCTCTCCCGCAGCGCGAATCATCAAGACAAAGCAGTGGTGTGACATGCTGCCGTGTCTGGAGGGCGAAGGCTGTGACCTGCTCATCAACCGGTCAGGCTGGACGTGCACGCAGCCCGGCGGGCGGGTGAAGACCACGACGGTGCGTACGCGGCGCCATGCACCCTGCACACCAGAGGGAGAGCCGGCCCTGGGCGGCGGGTCCCCGCGGGGAGGTGGGCCGCACGTCGGCAGGCGGGGGGACAGGGGCGGCTGGCTTGGTGTGGAGACACTGCCAGCCTCGCTGCCTCCCCCATGCAGTCTGTCCTCGCCCCCTGCGACCGGGTCGGTCTGTCCCTACTGCGTCAGACTGTCCCCCCGGCGGGGGGCCCAGGGGCAGGACAGAACCAGCCTGAAGGCGTCCGCCCAGAAGTCAGCTCAGAGCCCCACGGGGTGGTTGGTCTCGTCTCGTTGCTGGGATGGCGGGTGTGCTCAGCAGGAGGACGGGTCAGGACCCCCCACAGCCGCTGAAGCCTCTTTAGGGAGCGGGACCGGGGAAGGATGCGGTCCTCAAGGTCTCCTCCGGCTCTGGGTACTGCGTGGTGGCCGTCCGGAGCAGAGGCCCCGACCCTGAAATCCCCGAGGGCACCCCAGTCCCTCCCAGAGCCCGCTGAGGGGCCCCCTGCATACCCTCTGTCCCAGGAGCCGAGACCGCCTGGGCCCCGTGGCTGCTGTCCCGAGGGGACGGAGGGGAGGATGGGGAAGGGCTCTGAGGCCGCTCTCTGAGGTCCCTTTTTCAAGGTAAGTTCCTCAAGGCCACGCACCATGGTGTGAGCCCTCTCGCAGGCCCGCGCCAGGGGCAGGCTCTGTTCCCTGATGCAGCCGCTTATTGAGGCTGGTGCCACGACTCCGCAGGCCCAGGAGCTCAGGACCCTTGCCTTCGTCCGGCGGCTGGGAAAACCACAGCCGGCAGTGGGCAGCAGACGTGCTCTGCCTGCCCGCTGGGCCTCCCCCCACAAACCCTGGGTCTGGTTTGGGAAAAGCCCACGCGTCTTTTAGCTCTGAAGCTGGATTCTCCCGTCTGCCCGTTCTCGGGGGAGCCCGCCTGGGGGGCCGCTGGTCCTCGGGCAGATGCCCCTGCCGGCCCGGGTGTGGGCAGGACACCTGCGAGGCCCGGGGCCAGTCCGCCGAAGGGCTCGCTCTCGGCGCTCCTCACCCCCCACAGGGGTGCACGCCTGGGGCCCGGCGCTCCCGGCCGTGTGGAGGGCGCGTGCTCTGGATCTGGGCTGGCGCGTCCCGCTGAGGGGCTGCATGGTGATGCTGGAGGCTGGGGCCGCCCCAGGGGTCTGCAGACGCGTCTCTGGCTCTGACAGCGGCCCTGCATGTGGTGGCCGTTCGCAAAGCTTTCTTCAAAGCTCACTCAGGCTCTCGGCCCAAACACCAAATACTTGGAGCGTGTGGTCCCGTCTTCAGGACAGCAGCTCGGTCCCTCCACCGACGTCGGTCAGCACCGCCGCGTCCCGTTTCACCACGAGTAGGTTTTCTATGAGATGGGCTTGGAGTGCCCTTGTGGCTGCTTGGCCACGTGACGGCCCACGCCCCCTCAGCGGCCACAGTCGTGTCTGGAGGGCTGTCCCCCACCCCGACCTCGTCCCGCCCCACTCCTCTGCGAGGGCCGTGCCGCTCACGTCTCTGTGCCCAGCAGCACCCGGCGGCGGACACGGGCCTGACAGGCCCCCACCCAGCCCCCCGCTCAGGGCCAACATGAGAACTTGCGATAATTAATTGTGCCGTCACCTGTGTGGAGCCCAGGAACATGCTGACGCATGCGTTTCCGAGAACGCTCCTTCTCGGAGGTCAGGTCCTCACCCCATTAGTGGGTCGTGAAATTAATTTGCTGGGTCGTGACCCACGTTTAAGAGAAGGAAGAAGAAATTAAGTAAAAATATCAGAGAACGTCGTGTCCCGAGGGGGAGTCCGGCTGAGCGAAGCTCCCGTGCGCAGGGACGCGGTGACGGCTGCAAGTTACGGTGAATCGCGGGGAAGCCACCGTCCTGGAAACTCGGGGAAGATCCGGCATCCGTGCGGGATTTCCAGGCTCTGCTTCCCACCCTGGGTTGGTCCCGTGGACGCCAGTCGGCACCAGGAAAGGAGACATGGGGGACGCTGCAGGCTGTCCCCCAGGGCGACAGCGCCCTCCCATAGCATCCCCAGAGACGGTCTCCCTTGAGCTCCGCAGTCCGCTGATGGCGTCCAGCCTGGGTCCACCCCGCGAGCGAAGTGCCGTCCTGCCCTCCCCATGCCGCGCACGTCCTCAGATGCTAGAGGCTGAGCTCACGAGGGTCGCGTGCTGGCGGCCACCGTGATGCTGTACTCGGGAGTCGCTCCGCCACGCTTGCACACGTGTACGTTTTGCTGGGCTCCCGACGTGAACTGCTGTCCCGTCTCCCCAATCAGAATGGACCAGCCAAAAGGGAACCCATCCTACCCGGGAGCTGTTACGTGACACCTCTGAATTCCGTCCTGTGTGAACGGCCCATTGTGAGGCATGAGGACCCCTCACTGGGGTGTCCGTCTAGTTCTGTCCAGGATCTGGGATTTCCTGGGAACTCACTTCCCCCAACAACACTTCCCATGAGCAGGCTCTGACGGGTGGCACAGCCGCCACCGCCTGAGCACATCTGCGACAGCTGTCCAGTGGGGGACAGCCAGGGAAGGTGTGGGAAGTGGCGGGGTGTCTCTCTTGGACGATACTGGGAGGGGACGCCTGGCCCAGCCTGATGGTCCCAGAGGTCGGCGCTCACTGCAGACCAGATCACGCGAGAGGTGAGCCCCCGGGTGGGTTATGTTCTCTGTAGTCCTGTTGGGCTCTGCCGACGGGCGTCTCCTGCAGTGCCAAGTGTCTGGTCCTGGGTGTGAGCTAGCACAGGCCAGGCTGGGGGCCACTGCCCAGCTCTGCCGTCCTGAGGACAACTCGCCGTGTCCACACTGCCCAGTTACCCATGAGGTCTCTGCGTTCCTGGATTCCAGGTGTACCCCTGAGGGCCTGGCATGTGCCAGATCTGGACCCTCTGAGCGGTCCATGCGAGGGACACGTGGGGCCTCTGCTCTGGGGGCACCTGGAGCATGTGGTTCCTGACTCCACCAGCCGGACACCATTTAGGGCTCCTTGAGCCAGGCACCTGCCCGGGGTGGACAGCAAGAGGAGGGTACACATAGCCGTGAGCCCTGGACCCCGAGTGCTGGACCCCAAGCACCGGGCCCCGAGCGCTGGGCCCTGGCTCTGAGCCCCACACACCGGCGTGGAGATTCCTGTAAGACCGTTCGTAGAAACTCAGCAGTGCTTGTTCTGGGCTCCCAGTTGAAAGAACAGCACGTAGGTGCTTCCTGCTTTTGCCCCCAGGACACCTGTGTAAAGTGACAGGGAGACGGAGAGGAGGAAAGGCAGAGCGCGCGGGAGAGGAAGCGGCAGAAGCGGACGCTCTTGGTGGGCGAGCTGGTCGGGGCACCGTGCTCAGGTCCCCGGGAGTGGGGAGCAGCTCCTCTGGGTGGCCTGGAGGTCAGATGAGCCATCCCAGCCCTCCCAGCTGGCCCCGCGGCAGACAGACCCACCGGGGGCTCACACCAGCGAGGGGAACAAGTCTGGACACCCTGGACCCCGTCACGCTGACTGCAGGTGTGGAGGCGACGTCCCGGAGACCCAAGTCCCGAGGTGCACAGGCCCTCAGCTCTCGGAGGGGACGCTGCGGCTTCTTTCTGGGGACGTGCCCTGCGAGGCTCCGGCGGCCCCACCCCTGCCCCCGCACCTGGAGGCTCACAGGGGCAGACATCCGTTCTCGCCGGCTGAAACCACGGTATGTCAGGGCCGTGCTTCTCCGAGGCTCTGCGGGGTGTCTGTCCAGCCTCGTCCTGCCTCTGGGGTTCCAGGCGCTCCGGGGCGTGTGGCCAGAGTGTGCCTCCGTCGTCACAGGGCCGCATGACCGCGAGAGCCGGGCCTTGTGAAGACGCCGGCTCACCAGGCTCTTCCCACCTCAAGGATGATTCCTGGTCACAAACTCGATCCCATCTTTAATTCCAAATGACATTTCCAAAAATGGAAAGTTCTCGGTGGATATGACTTTGGGGAGCTGACCCGTCCCCTCACTAACTTACCAAGCTCAAGGCTGAAATCCCGGGTCACTGCAGTTTGGGGCCTGAGGACCTTTCTGGGAAGCCCACCATCTGCCCACCAGCTCCTCAGGTCACACTCACCGCCGTGGACGCAGCAAAGGGTCACCACTTGACGACAGTGACCAAGGGCCACCGCCCAACCACGAGCGGCGGAAACCGGAGGAACGGGGCGCTGGAGGTGGTGGGGGAGGCCCCGCAGAGCAGGGTCCTGAAGCTGGCCGGCGGCCCGCGGGAGCAGAGGCTGGTCAGGAAGTGAGGCGGGGACAGCACGCCGATGGAGCGCCCGGCCCCGGCCTTGAACCTTCCTCCCCTGGGGGTGCGTCTGGCTTCGGGCCCCTGAGCCCCACGTAGGGGGTGCGATCACTCCGCAGCCGCCATGCTCCCCCATGAGGCGCCCCTGCCGGGCCTGGGCCGGGCCGTCCACGACGCAGGGGTGACCTATCACCCACAAGCCCCCAAGCCGCAGGTTTGTGCGAAGAGGAGAGTCATGGTCGTGTCAGGATGTGGACATGGATGCTAAGAAGATCAAGAATATGTATCTTCCTATAAGAACGGGGGACACAGTATGTGCACAGCACGCATGTGTACACACACGTACTCGTGGGCTCACGCGCGTGAGCGTTTGTGCTCACGTACACCAGCGTGCGTGGGTAACTGGTTGTGGTAACAATCCGGTAGAGCGAGGAAGTCTCCGCCGAGGAGTCGATTTTTTCAGAGAAGGAGAAAAAAACTAGACTAGAAGATCGGTTCAGGAATTCTGAAGAATACAACGTCCAAAGGTAGAGAAACGCGGAGAACAGATGATCAAAGAAGTACTTAAAACCCGAATTCCCGGAGCTCCCAGACGCGGGCTTCCACGAGCGTGCCCACAAGGGTGGGGCGAGCGCAGGTCCGGCCGCGGCTGCAAGCGCGGGGCTGCAGGTGGGAAGGCGTCCGTCCTCTCAACCCAGACGGAAAAATGGGTCACGGACAAAGACTCAATGCCAGCACGCC